AAGCATCATGCATACAGATTAGAACAAGAATGCAAGGGGAACTGTAAGAGCTTGCATGTGGAATTATTTTTCATCCTAATGTGATTGTTACAAAGCACATGATCATCCATCTCCAATAAGCGAATGACATGGAAAAACCTCATTGCCTACATAGTCATCTAATTTCCCAGTATAGTTTTGCATAGGTTTCAATGCACTTTAGTTTTTTACTGTTCTTACTTACTTTGTACTATGCTTATCAAGGCAGAGAGCTCAGTTACAAAATGCTAGAGTAAAAACCATATAAAATCTTAGCGTGCCAAACAGTTAAGCATGCCTTCACTAGAAATTAGCACATCAGTTAAATGAGAAAAATAAGCAAATGCTAATACCAGAAACAAGCAATTCACAACAGACAATTTGCTGCAGTTTTCTTCAGAATACTGTTCAGGTTTCTCATTGTCATACTACATCTATTCCTGATCTCTTTATGAAGTATTTAATATCTAGTCAATAAAATATACATGCAAGATGAGGAAATACTAGGTCAACATATGCTTAACAATGGAGGCCCAGGTAGCAGCCACTGCCAAGGCAGCCTTTTACCACCTTCGGCTGATCCGGCAGCTGGTTCCCTCCCTCAAACACAATGATCTGGCTTCAGTGATCCATGCAATGGTCACCTCGAGGTTGAACTGATCTGTCTCACCCCATCTTGCTTAGCATGTTCACGTTAAGTGCCAGTTACATTTATGCAGATCTGTACAGCTTACTTATCCATCTCTCATGATAGCCTCATAAAGCTACTGTGAATATTATACAGTAATCTATATTCTGGGAATTGTAATATGAATACATGCACTCAGAAAGGCTACTGCATACAAAGTAGTGTCAAATTGATCAAGAAATACCTTTGGGACCCAAAGGTCCAGTTGATCCTTGAAATCCTTGATCACCAGGCTCTCCATGGGCACCAGGAAGCCCCTGCGGTCCTGGGTTCCCCACTGGACCTTAACAAATGAGAATAAATTTGAATCAACACCATCCTACCATAAACGTTAAGAACATTTTGTTGCTTGAATCTGCCATGTTTTAAACCATACCTTTTGAACCAATACTTCCTTGCTTTCCTTGAACTCCTTTATTTCCTGGATTTCCAGGTATACCAGGAACCCCAGGTAGGCCAGGGTTTCCACAGTCACCTGGATCTCCTTTAACAAAAATAGTCTTTCCTCGCGGTCCAGTTTCTCCAGGAAGACCTGAAACAAAAATTAGATACTGTGGGAATCGAACCCGGTTCTCCAGATTAGAGTCTGCCGCTCTTAACCACTACACCAAACTGGCTCTTGGACTGGGACCACTGGCTTAGGAAGCCTCTGAGCGAAAGCAAACATCTGTTTGGAGCTATCAGTTTTGACAATGCTAAGCACTAGTTTGTAGCAGTGGGGGAAATTAGTCCAGTCATTCTACCCCCATCTTTGGTTTGCGGATTTCACTCGTAGGCCTCATAAGTGCATCAAATTGTTCTTGAACTCAACAGGTGAAAAGATTCTTCTGCAGAATCATGCACAAGGGGAAAACCTCCAGACATATTTTGATATGGCTCAAAAAAGTAATGCCATTCATAATTGATCTGCCTCCTGACAAATTCTGGGGAAGGTGGTGTGCTTTCGTAAAGTTTTTTTTTTTAGACACTGTTATATTAGTTGGTGGTGTAGGTTTTCTATTGTCACAGAGGTCAAATTGTATTTCTGATGTTTGTTCATGGAATTACACATTTGTGTACACACACACTAAAAAAAAACTAGAATGTTAGAAATGAATGCAAATCAGTAGTGGAAGAGAAGCATGTGATTGCTATACACTTACCTTGCCCTGACCCGGATGGCCCAGGCTGGCTCGATCTTGGAAGCCAACCAGAGTCAGCCCTGGTATATTTGGATGGGAGACCACCAAGGAAGGCCAGGATTACTATGCAGAGGCAGGCAATGGCAAACCACCTCTAAACGTCTCTTGCATTGAAAACCCTATGGGGTCGACATAAGTCGGCTGCAACTTGATGACATTTACACATATTTACTTATCTTGGCTGAAGCCACCCCAAATAACGCTTCTTTGAATCATCATTATTAGGTAAGGTTAACAGTCGTAACTTCTCACACAAAGCTAAAAAATAAGCATGTCAAGCTACTGAAAAAACCAAATTACCTATCCAAAGGTCTCCTCTTCCTAATCATATCCTCAATCACTCTAATCCAGAGGTGTCTAAGTCATTTGTTACAAGGGCGGGATCTGACATAAATGTCACTTTGTCCGGCTGAGCCGTGTGTGCCACAAAATGTAATGCCAGGTACCGGAGATACAAATTGTATAAAGGACAGTAGCTGGTAAGCTCTGAGTTGGTGTATCCTCACTGCAAGTCCCCATGGGCTGGGAGGGGGGTGCAAAGGAAAATCCATACGGTTGGACTGGAGAGCCAGCTGTGCAGCACTGAGCAGACTTTTCCACACTGCTTGACTGCTGCAGATGAGGTTGTTCCACCATGCTGAAGCCACAGAGTGGCTCCCCCCACTCCTCCCAAGCAGTCTCCTGTTCCCTCCCATGCACTAGTTGCTCGTGGGCTGTGTAAGAGCCCTGGATGGGCCGGTGACACCCCAGCTCTAATCCATCAAGTATGGAGTGTATGCTTGGGTCTTTTACACTGGACTTCCTTTTAGTGCCTATGTGGATGCAAATGGCTGATAAAGAGGTAAAACTCCTGTATCTAGCACTGGTGAGCGCTATGGGAACCGAATCACTGACAGAGTATAACTAGACAAGACATCTGGGGTCCCTGACCCGTTCTTCCATCTCTTTACATTTCTATTCATACTAATTGTTTCTGTATGGGATATGTGTGCAAGGAGGGAAAGCAGAGTGGTATAGCCTGATCTTGTCAGATCTCTAAGCTAGGGAATGAAAGAAATACCATGCAGAACAGGTTTATAAAAATCATGATATAATAAAGATATTTCAATCCCAAATTGCTTGGACAGTTTTTCTTGTTGAATTATATCACCAATAACCAATGAACTATATGAACAAGAAATTGAACAGGGGAACTAATAGAATCTCATAATGTTTTGCAGAATGTACATAATATAAATGTACATAATATCAAGATCATTCAGTGAGAGCCCATATATAGCAATCCTTAATACAATAAATGATCTCATGCAGATGGTTCCCAAAAGGAGTCTCTTAAGAGCATGCTAGCTACAGGCAGCCTCGTTTCGCTGTAGAGTTTTATCAAAGTAGAACCGATATTCCAATTTGAACAATGTTTTCTTTCCAGTAGCAGTGGCGGCAAACCAAACCCTCAGCAGCCCTGAAGGCAATGTTTTCCCTTTGTTAAACTGCATTCCACCTACGGTTACTGCAGTCCTAGCCCAACAACACCCCCAGTTCCCTTTCCTGGTATATCAACAGACATGAGATCCAGGCACAGGTAGGTAATATTCGATTTAGTTTAGTCCTGAGCCTAAGTTAGTGATCTGTCTGATTAAAGATTTTTATAGAAAATCAGTACCTCTGATGCCATTCAAACCAGCAGGGCCTTGATCACCCGGAGGCCCAGGTGGTGCGTCTCCACATGGCTGTCCAATAGGTCCTGAAGGCCCAGGAGCCCCCGACTTGCCTGTAAGAAGCAAGATGATCATTTTATATTTCAGAGTGGATATAAATATGTTTAATACTGTTTATGCCTGTCATTACTCAATGTTTTGCATATTCCAGGTTATGTTTCTGTGACCTAAAATGCAATTCTTCCCTAGGCAGTGTGTGCACTGTGACTGCCACATGACATGTGACATCCCCAACATGATGACATCACCTGGAAGTGGCATCATCATGTCAGGGACATTGTGTGGGGACACTCTGGTATTTGGGCAACCTCTATGGTCTGAAGGCGAAAAAACCAATAGAGTTTGCCCAAATGCCAGAGTGTGCCCGACACGATAACATCACTTCCAGGTGATATCATCACATCGGGGATGTCATGCAATGTCCTCGCCCACTTCCAGAACACTCCCAAATCCCCCTGCTGGAGTGACATGGGGACCTGGCAACCCTGTTTCCAGGGCCTACCTGGAGGTTGGCAACTCTAGAAGGTGATAAGGAAGCAGGGGGGGAAGGGGAGGAAATATGGGGCTTTCAGGAAAAAGAAAGGAAACCATGTGGGAGGGGGAATGAGATGCCTCCCGCAAAGCCTTGCAGGTTCCCACTTGTGGTAGTATAACTTGCATTTTTTGTGCTGTCCTCAGCTTAGATGTCCTGTTAAAATAATCAGGAGATGAATTTGGGAGGGATACTGAATCTAAGTACAGTGGAGGGTAGGGATGACGCCTGATCTACAAGGGAACTGGATCTCACAACTCTTTGCTATTTCTCTGTTGCTGAGTAGGGAGCGTCTTGCTGGGGTAAGATTCTGACATGGACAGCTTTTTACTTCCAGTGACTTACACCTTGCAGTGCTTTGGAATGAAGTCAGAATGTGACAGCTGCCATTATTTGCATATTCAAGCTGGGGGGAATTATCTCACAAGTTGTTCTATTAGACCTGCCTCTCTGCAATTCTTGGCAGGTTCCCAGCTGCCATGGGGCCCACAATGTGTTCGAACTTGCTTCTGATCATAGAGCTCGTGTACTTCCTTAGCCTAATTACCTAAACCAACTGGAGGAATGGGTGAGCCAACAGAAGCCTCTGGAAGAAAAGTCTTGTGGGTTTGAGGAACTATCAGGCAGTCCTGCTTACTTGCATGGAAAGAAGATATACAATTGACACAGGCTCTTCCCTGGAGGAATGAGGAAGGAACCCTCCCTCTGGGACAAGATGGGCAAAGTCCCCATTCTGAGGATGCCTCCTGATGAGGAAGAAACTTTAATTTCTTCCATGAAATCTGCTGTAATGTAAGATTTCCCAATATTCAGAATTAATTTCATAAGTCAGTGTGTTCCTTACTGATGTTTACAAAGAGGTGCATTCTTGCGTACTGCTAGCAATAACAACCTTCGCAATTAAAGACACAGCCACATGAAACAACTGCTGTCTGTTAATTGTACAAAGAAATCCCAAGCAGAGGTCATTTCGGGGGGATCGCGGGGGATCGCAGTTCCCCCGGGTGAGGTACGGGGGGCCAGGGCCACCACCCTCTGTATTGGAAAGCCTGAACACCAGGCTCTGACGTCACCAACATGGCGACGAGAGTAGTCATAACAGTCCTCTAGTGGTGATGTGTGGTTAAGCGGGCAGTTTGAATTCAGTTGGTGCAGCAGAAAGATTTCAGTTAGGGGAGACTAGTGTTGGCTGTTGACTCTTCCTCTTTAATACTCTGCAAACAACCTTTAGAGAAGAATTCCAAATATTTTCTTTCCTTCATTTGTGGAGTAAATATGCCTTTTTGTTGTTGTGTTCCTGAATGTAAGGGCAATTATAATCAGGATCACATAGTGAATGTTTTCAAGTTTCCATCAGATGCTCTTCTGAAACAGAGATGGATTTCTGCCATCCATCGTGATAACTTTATTCCATCACAATCATCATGGGTTAGTAAAATATTATCATGTCAATGTGTTGCATACAAACTGTTTTCTATAAGTAGAAATGTATAATGTATATTTTGGTAGGCAGACGCAATTTCACGCATGGTTGTAAACTTTTTGTAATTTTGAAAATCATGCTCTGACCCTCATAAACTGTACAGTACCTTTTGTATGCAATTGTGGATTTAAATTTCCTGTCTCACAACCAGTGTTCCCTCTAAGCTGAGTTAGTGTGAGCTACCTCACAGTTTTTTAGCCTACAGCTCACACATTTTTCTCTTAGCTCAGGAATGAAGCAAAGTAATGTATGCAGTAGCCAAATCACTCACTCACTACCTTAATGCCAGGAGCTCACAAAATAGAATTTTTGCTCACAGGTCTCCACAGCTTAGAGGGAACATTGCCACAACACTCCCTCAAAAACAATAACAGCACATCAATACCTATGTGTTAATGCACTTAAATGCAGCGACTAAATCAGATGTCAGTGCAGGAGCGCATGTAAATAATCCTTAAAAGGAATAAAGGTTGCAATGTCAAAGAAGCCAGTAAAACGTATTACATGGACTGGGTCACTCATTACTGTTTGAAAGGTAGGAGAGGTTGAGGTTTTATAAGCTCCTCTCTGGTTGTTTACACTCCTTGTCTCTAAGGGACTGTTGTTAGATACATTGCAGAATTACTCAGGTTTAGTCATATTGGACCGCTTTTGCCTTACAGGTATGTATTACTCACTTCCAAACCAGTGATGTCTTATGGCAGACAGAAGTGCCACTTCTGCCACTTCATTGCACAGTATCCTGGTTTCCATAATCAAAGGGCTGGAGTGTATTGGTTACAAGGTTTTCTGCATCGCGTCAGACAATAATTCAATTAACAGAAGTGCCATGTCATTGTTTTCCGCGGACAAACAGGTCAGAATAGTTTATAGGCATCCAGTGACACCAGAACGCCCTTTATTTTATATCATCGATCCTGTTCATATTATTAAATCTGTGCGGCATCGCGTCAGACAATAATTCAATTAACAGAAGTGCCATGTCATTGTTTTCCGCGGACAAACAGGTCAGAATAGTTTATAGGCATCCAGTGACACCAGAACGCCCTTTATTTTATATCATCGATCCTGTTCATATTATTAAATCTGTGCGAAATAATTGGCTCAATCAGAAGAACAGTACAAAAGACATGTTTTACCCTGCATTTCCAGGCAGTGGTGAAACTAAAGAGCTTATTGCGTCGTTTTCAACATTGATAAAGATGTATGAATTTGAGAGCACCTCTATTGCTAGGTTTGCATATCCGCTTACATTGAAGGCTTTGTGCCCAACAAACTTAGAAAGGCAGAGTGTAAAGCTTGCATTGCAGGTTTTCAACTCACCTGTGGCAGAAGGTTTAAAGGTCGCCAGTAAAAAAATTGACTTACCGAATGCCCATGGCACTGCTGAATACATCCGCATCATGGTTAAATGGTTTGACATAATGAATGTTAAATCAAAATTTAAGGGTCTGCATAAGCTGAATCCTTACATGGAGCCAATGGTTTCTGGCGATATGAAGATTATTTTCTTGCTGCAATTTCTTGACTACGTCATGTTTAAAAATGTATGTTCAAACTTATAGTTGTGTGAAAAGAAAAAATGAATGTTTTATCTTGAAAATATGACAGCTATGTCACAAAAGTGTTGTACTCTACAAGTTTACTTAGGATGTTATTCTTTATGAAAATTTACCCTGTTCCTTATGAAAATTCAATAACACTTATTTTTAAAAAATGCTGTGTCAATGTTAAATAAAAAGTAATGATGAAAACCAGAAGTTATTAAATTATTGGTATTATTTGACAATACCATCATACAACAGACATCCACCACTCTCCAATATTATATGAAACATACACTCAAATATAATATAATGAGATCCTGCTGTTAGCTAACTAGTGATGAAATGTATTGATCTAATATTGATCTCATTATGAATGAATAACCAGATTCTAGATTGGTACCATAGATCTGGAGAATCTCAAAGTCTTCATCTTTTTAGAATTTTTCAGATTCTTAGGTCATAATGTAGAAACATTTCACAAGGTATTCTGTAGGCCATTCAGTCAAAGCTGTGCCTTGAGAGAAGATAATATAGTGAGTATAACTGAAGCCTATCTTCCTTTTGTTAGAATGTACAAGGGATGAAATTCCACAATTTACTTATTTCATTGTTCAGTTTGTTAGTATAACTAGGAGGCTTATCCTAATATGTAACCCCCCTACTGTAGCTTCTGCAGTTGAGGTTTATGACAATTACTTCCAGATAAATTCATACTCAACTTTACATTTACAGTGAACATTTGAACATGATCTGTATTCAGTCCTCCTAGTACTTGCTATGTACTTGCTATGACTTGTCAATAAAATTTAGTGTTAAATACAGAAGGAAACACAGTCCAGAAAAGGACAAGTTGGTTGGATCATGTTTACAGAAATGCTAAGAACCAGGGGAATGTTTACTTGTCTTGGCTCAAAGTGCACTTGAAAACTTAGAAGAGAATTTGAACCACAGTTGAGTTTCTACACTCAAATATGCAATGGAAACTGAACTCAGTAACACTGTAAGCTAGTGTGAAGTGTCTGGAAAACTGCAGTGAAAAAATCAAGAGAATATCTTGTTGTTGCTTCCGGCCGCCCCGCTTCCGGCCCTCATTCAGCCAGGAGGAGGCAGGAGAAGAGGGAGGGTAAGTTGCTTCCTCCCTGCCTCTCTCCACCCCTGCCTGCCTGGGGCCAGGGAGGGCCTTCGCGGGGCTTCCTTGCACTCCCGCCGGCCTTGCAGGTTCACCGCCGGGCCCCTCATGGGGCTCGACAGTGGCGCTGCAAGGCCAGCGGCGGCCGGCGGCCGGGACCGTTGGGGGCGGGGTGTGTGGCCATGAACAGCGAACCCACCCGGGTGCTGGTAGGCAGCCCCACCCCTTGAAAAATGTGGCCATAGAATTAGGAGCAATCTGCGCTTGCAGCACAACTGTAAACCGCTCTGAGACCTCCGGGTCTGAGCGGTATAGAAGCTGAATGTTAAATAAATAAATAAAATGTCAGGGGGTGTGGCCTTATGACACACTTCTGGTGATGTCAGGGGGTGTGGCATATGCTAATGAGTTATGCTAATGAGTTCCCCTAGCTTTTTTTCTACGAAACGACCCCTGATCCCAAGCATATGTGTTCTATATACTGCTCCTTAATAGTGCAGCAAAATTAGTTAATAATAAAATAATTATTTAATTAGTTGATAATTAGTTATTGGAAGAAAACTTACCAGGCGGCCCTAACAAGCCTGTGTCTCCTGGGGGTCCTGGGAGGGAAATTCCTGGTAGTCCAGGTTCTCCTCTACTGCCTTTTGATCCAGGTTCTCCAGTGCATCCTGGAGGCCCCATTTCACTTAAACCTTTATAGGAAAGTAACTGCATGATGTAAAGCTTTATATGAATGAAAGACAGATGCACAGAATGGAAATTCCAACTGAAGCAATATTGCTTCCTTTCCAGGTGAGTCTGGAATACTGTGGGCAATGCCCCCCAAGAGCCTCTGAACATGGCTAAGTGTGCCTGAGCAGCATCCCCAAAAGCTTAAATGGCTGTAGCCACAAGTTAAAATGGACAAACAAGCCATCTCAGGAATACAAGAATTGCTTTACACATGCACACAGGCTTCTCTGGATCTCCGAAGGGCATTAAGATCAGCAGATAAGAATCTTCTGATGGTCCCCTGCCCCAAAGATATCTGGCTGGCCTTTTCCACCCTGACCCCTGCCTGGTGGAACTCTCTGCCGAATGACATCTGTGCCTCGTCTGACCTATTAAAGCTTTGCAGGGCATGTAAGGCAGAGATGTTCCATCAGGCCGTTGGTTGAGGCCAGCAACGGTTCCTTACATCTGCCTGGCACCCCCCCCCCAAAGACTGAAAGCTAGCACAGCCATCTTGTTTTTTAAAATGTCTCTGCATGCTTAAATGCCTTGAATGTTTTTAATACTGAATTTTTATGGTTTTAAAACACACTGAATTAATTTGTTGTAAACTCCCCTGAGCAAGAAGGAAAGGGTGGTCAAGAAATCTAATAAAATAAATAAGTTTGGTTGCAAGAAGCTTGCCAGTCTGAAATGCAGCAAATATTACAATGTTTTTCAGCTGTATAACTATTGTCCTTAATATAAGTTATTTTTAAATTCAGTTTTCTTACTAAGATTTCATGATCTGGTTCATTCTAATCAAGTTAATAGTAATTAATTATAGCTGAGTCCAAGCTTCAAATATTTGAATAATAAATTTGGACCATTGTGCTTCCAGATATAGTATGATTGTCATAAAGCCAAATAATGATCTTATGACTTTCATACTAAATACACTTAACATGCAGTCTGTATGTCACTTATCATTTTTTACCTGGAGGTCCTGGTAAACCTTTTTGACCCCGTAGTCCATTCAAGCCATCTATTCCAGGCAATCCCGGAGGGCCTTTGAAATATTACAACAAAATATAAACAAAATGCTGAATACATTTTTGCAATTTGAGCATTTACTGAAAACGCCTGGCAGCTGAAAAATATGCTGCATCATTAGCAGATGTGGACTTTTTTAAAGTAAAAAAATTAGATTTAGGAAGATGAAGCAAATAAAGCCAAAAAGTTTCTTGCCTTTTGTACATTAACAACAGATTTCCTGGCATGAAAAATTGAGAAGATTTAATTATTTAAAAACATTCCTGCTCTGTTCTTTTATTATTTTATAGCCTCTCTTTCAGTCAAATAACACTTTCACTACAAACTCCAAAATAAAAGTAACAATCTTATTTCTACTTCTCTTGACACTTCTTAAAATGTGTAGAAGAGCTTTAGTTTAGGGGAGGAGAGCCAAAGCAGTTGCTTTAAGCAAAAAAAAAGTGAATCTTTAAGATCATGTCAACTTTGTTGTGTTCTTAATGCGAGGCATCGAAATTAAAAGGCAGAATGGGTTCAAACAGGAGCACAGTTTAATATGTCCAGTTCCTTCCCTGTTGGAGTTACAATGAGTACAACTTTCTTTCTCCCTGTTTCTGCCCACAGCAAGTCCTGGACTCGGGCAGTCTAAAACACTGGTCCAGATTAAAGGAACAGAGTAGTCAAAACACCACAAAGTAGTGCTCCCAGGTTCTGGGAGGGGATGGGGGACTCAGGGTTGCCAGATTTAGGCTGGGAAACTCATGGAGATTTGGGGATGGAGCCTGGGGAGGACAGGGACCTCAGTGGGGTACAATACCATAGAGTCTACCCTCCAAAGCATCCATTTTCTCCAGGGGAACTGATCTCTGTAGTCTGGAGATGAATTGTCACTCTGGGGGTTCCCCAGGTGCCACCTGGAGGCGGACATTCCTAAAAGACAGAAGTGACTGGCTCTTTCCATAATTACTCTGTTCCATCTGATATGAGCCACAGAACTACCATAATCACCATTTTTGACCCAGAAGAATGCTAAATGGAATATTTGTGAAAATTGAAGTCTATTTACGGCAGTTCTTTGGCTAAATGTTAGGCAAGAGATATGACCAGTGTGCAGCAGCTGACTCCAACATCGGTAAATATTAAGGATTAATCTTTGGAATCTAATTTGTTGCTGATATCTCTCTTGATTTTTGGTTTATTTAACCATGATTGATGGTTCTGTTTACTTTGCTTTCTAACTTTTGCCAACCATCCATTACAACAGCAACACTTGTAAGTCTATAATTAGCACAGTCACAGCTCTACACTGCCAGATATAAGCTGAGTTTGCTACAGTGGAAGTCAGCCATTATTTGCTATATTTTACAGCACAGTACTGTCTGAAGCTAACCTTATTTAAATGTATGTGACCATTTACTTCATGGGTAACTAAAATAAGTATGGTTTCAGGACTGGACCATTAATTATAGATATGGGGAAACCAATTTTAAAATAGCTGTGGGTTTGCTAGGCATCCCCTGTAATACCATTACCTTATATCTAAAAATTGTTTAAATAAGAGCACTGTTGGCATAATAAGCAGAAAGCAGGGGGTTTAGTGTCTAAATATAATGCATTCGTTTGACTATCAAAAGTTTTCATTCACAGACACAATAAACTAATTGGGGGAAAACAGACATGGCAGAAATCATGAGATCTCTATGTGTAAAATGCATCTCACACAGTCCCAGTTTGTATCAAGGTCATGCAGAGAAGGAAGGGGCTTTATTTTTAAATGTTTAAATAAATGAGACACAAAGTGGCTTATAAAAATTTAAAAACAAATACAAATATTGTTTAACCCTTGAATGTTGGTTTTACTAACTGAGGCTCCCACAGACAGGTTTTCATACTTTAAAGAGAAAAACATGTCCTTAAAAATATCTTTTTACCTTTAAAATGCTAATAAAAAGGTGGAGAGCCCAGTTTTGGTTATTGCTGCCAACTGGTCTTGAGAAAAATTGCATGCCCTTTTAACAGAAGCTTAATGCGATGTTATTTACCAGATGATATTATCTCCATGGCATGAAAAGTTTCACCTGCCTATTTCCACTCCATAAACCACTATTAATGGGATGGGATATTTTTTCTCCAGGCCAGTTGGCAACCCTAGTTTTAATCAATGAAACAAAGCTGAGACTGAAGAGTTAAAGTCCCTCATTTTTCCTGCATGGCCCTGATGCAAATTGTTTAGGGTTGGGATAAAGTGATTTGGGACTGAAACCAATCCTTTAGATCTTTTGCATCTGAATGAGGCACAGAGGCACAGAGTATGTTGTTGTTGTTTACTTCATTTCTACCCCTCCTTTCTCCCCAATGGGAACCCAAAGTGGCTCAGGGGGGTCAAACTCATTTGTTATGAGGGCCGGATCTAACATAAATGTGACCTTGTTGGACCAGGCCATGTGTGTCATAAACTGTAATGCCAGGTAGTGGAGATATAAACTTTATAAAGGACACAAATGTGCTTAAAACATTAGCACTCTTGCAGTGTTTTGTTTATTTATCAATCTCTGATAACTAACACCTCTTACCAGGGGTCATTTCTTAGAAAAAGAGCTAGGGGGACTCATTAGCATAACTCATTAGCATATGCCACACCCCCTGACATCACCGGAAGTGTGTCCTCCCCACAGCCGGCGGCGACCTCCAGCGGGCACCAGCAGGGAGCTCCAGGCCCCGCCCTCCCGCACCTCACCCGGGGGGATGGCGTCCCCCCGCGTCCCCCCCCAAATGACCCCTGCTTCTTACTCTGAATTATCAAAATCTGGAGACAATCAATGTCTGTGCTGTAGCAATCTTGAGTATGCTGTTCAGGTGTTGTTCAGGTATGTATCTGTAAGTTGCAAACCTACTTTTGATTTATTGACATTCATTACAGAAATCTCATAGTTAGTGCTCTGAGCCTAAAATGCAGGGGAAAACCTTGATGTATTTCATGGTTCGAAGGTAAGTAACACCACCTGCTAAATAACATCCCATTAAGCCTGTAATTAAATGGACAGGACATTTTTCTGGCTGGCAACATTAAATTTATAGGACAGAATCTGCCCTTAGGATAATACACAGGTGTGTTCTGTTCCCATAACTCTGTAAGCCAACTAAAAACGCATCAGGGTATATGGTCCAAGCAACTGTATCAGGCACCTTGAGTCAAGAGAAAAGGTGAGGTATAAGAATTTTAATTAATAAATAAAATCACCTTTGATACACAGCTCTTGAAGTTCATGTTAAATGTTCCTGCAGGAAAAGTCTAGGCTAGCACACTATGAAGATAGTACATTTGGATCGACACTTGGCTCAATTGTGTATACATGATAATATATAAAAGAAAAACGGGGGCGGCTGACTCATAAGTCTACTGCCAAGTTTGATGCCCCACATTAGTTCATACTATTAATGCAAATACATGAGTAGCTGTACCCCATTCTATAATTTATTCATTAATTGAAAATGTATATGCTGCTTTTCCAGAGATCTGCTCCAAGCCGTTTATTTGCCTGCTTAGAGGCTCATACCTTGGTGCCAAAAATAAAATCTGCATCCAGAATCTATCTTGGACTTCCTCCTTTGAATAGGGTTTTAAAAATTCTTTCAGTTGATCAAATTTGACCCCTAGAGGAATTGACATATCCCTGACTTCAGTGTCAGTATGATTAGGCCCAAGGTGTATTTTTAAAATACCCAGCATTTTATGGCTTACAATTATATTCGCTGCTGTTCATTCCATACTATTGCAACATTTAGTGTCACATCTTGTAAAAGCTCTACTACTTGCAATATTTACCTTTTCGACCTGGGGGTCCAGGTAATCCTGGAAAACCTGGAGGTCCCAAAAGGCCAGGATTACCTTGGTCACCTGGAGTTCCTGTCAATCCTGCAGCTCCCTGAGCTCCTACAGGTGGAAAAGATGAGCATCCAATCATATCAAGCTGCCTTATACTGAATCAGATCACTGGGCCATCAAGATCAGCACTGTCTACTCAGACTGCCAGTTGCTCTCCAGTATCTTACACTACCTGTTCTTTTAACGTGAGATGCCAGGAACTGAACCTAGGACCTTCGATATGCCCCTCAAACAACATTTACTACTTTCTTCTCACCTGTTCAGCTCCTCCACAGCAAAATGGATATATTTTGTTGAGGTCTAGAGGGGGACTGCAAAAGTTAACATAAAATCAACAATGCAATCAGACCAGCCTGGCTTTGGGCATACCATAGCAACTACCATTTTTCAAATGTTTGTAACAGTCAAAGGCTAATACAGCTTGAACCCTAGGTTTGCCATCATTAGGCTTATGACTGCCTTACCAAAGCACAGGTTGATGCAATAGATATCAGCATGGGCTAAGATGGTCATATGAGCCTGTACATCAGCCTTAATTTCTCTTCCTCTTTTATTGTTCCATTACTGATAAGTTTCCAAATCTTATCCACTGTAGCCCTTGTAGCTGATAATCTCTAATATTAGATTTAAACATTTTCTTTCTTTACTTCCTCCTTACCTGGGAAGCCAGGAGTTCCTGGGTATCCAGGTAACCCTTTGGATCCTGGTCTTCCTGTTTCCCCTTGAACACCTGGTACTCCTTGAACACCTGGTAGTCCATTGAGTCCTTCAAGAAACAAAACAAAAAAAATTATATAAAAGATTTCCCGTAGAACATATTTCCATGCACATAGATTTGCTGTGTTTCTCAGCAGACAGCTTTTCAGTAACATATCAACATATTGCCTCCTCCATGAATGGTACAAAGCCCAAGGATATCCTTACAGACATGCATGCTAGTTGTGGTTCAACAGCATCATAACTGATAACCCAACGCTCCCCCCAAAATATAGAACTATTTCTTTCTCTGGCCAAATTTAAAGCTGCAAAAATTTTCCTTTCAGTATCCAGGCAGATGGATCTGACACATTCTAGGAACTTGCACTAGCCATCACTCATCAGATTTGATTAATTCAGACAGTAGTTCACCACTGAGTGCTAAGCTGTACAAATTCTCAGCAGAAGACCATTCTGTATAATTACAGCACAGCTGTAACAATATTACTAATGCCTTCTTAGCAATATGTAATTTAGAAATGCATGAAAAGATATTGCTGGTCTTTATTTTCATCTCTTTTTGTTACTATAGAAGCAAACCCAAATTTGCCACTAAGTAAACACTCAACAAGAAACTGTGACCAAACATACATGCATGCAACATATGTTATTAGGAAACAAATGTGCATTGCTATTTATACTTTACACTTTTAGATGCATAGTCAAGACTACATGCATAGGATAATATGGTTGATAAAAGTTAATGTTTGGATGAGAGACTATCTGCCTCCTGGTGTCTGAGAAAAAGATGGTTGCTGGATTGGTTGCATTTAGGGCCTCTAGGCCCAAGTTGTATAAAATGTAAGTAAACTTGTTGAGGTGTTTCACAAGTCGCTGGGATCAGTTCATTTGGGGATTTGGAGCCTCTTCCTAAGTTCCCATTATACAAACCATCTCAGATATATAGTTAAAATGTAATGTAAGTGGTCCTGAATAAGCATATTGCAAGGTTCTCCTTTCCTATAACAATGATGGGTATCTGTCCAAAACAGGCTGGAGGGCAATGTAACATTTTTATCAGGTGGTAGCATGGACCCTATGGCCACTTCATAAAACAAATATGGTTAACACATGAAAGTATGGGGAAATGAAGGTGTGGAGCTGCCATATATTGAGTTGAGCCATTGGTTCATCTAATCCAGCACTGTTTATTCAGAAAGGCAGATGCTCTCTGCAACCGTTGGTATAGTTGCTTCCCAGCCCTGATACTGGAAAACTGAGGGACTGAACTGGGAATCTTTTTCATGTACAGCACAAAAGAACAAAGGCTTAAAAAAAGGCTTAAAATATTTATCCTATACATAACCTTGAATCATTAATAGAAAAACTACTGACAATTAAGAAACTATAAAATCATTACAAAATGAATAAATGGAGTAAATAAATAAATAACTCTAACCCCTTCATATTTTATGATATGCACAGAAGACATCCAGCATTCATGTGGTGAATATGTCTGCCACATAAAATATGAACCAGCCATACCTTAACAGTTTAAGGCTCGAAAGTTTGTTAGCCATAAATATGTGATGGTAATTCATAAAATCTGCCAACAAATGAAAGCCCAATAAAGAAAAAAAAGCAGGTGAGTCATTTAATCAACCTGTTTTTAGTACATAATAACCAGAAACACTATCACCTGGCAATCCTCGATTTCCTGGAGGGCCTCTCTTACCAGGCTGGCCAATGTGAGGAGCTGGATCTCCTCTGTTACCTGTACAAGTTAAAGACTGAGATTACTCTGGTAAGTAAGATATATACCATACCCAACAGGTGAACAAGTTTCTCTCTTTATGTTAACAAAAATATATACATGTTTCTGCAGTCCACAATATCTCCAAAATTCTGCTTCTGGATGACTGGGGACCCCCCGGGACAGTATGAAGGAAGCAGTCAGAGCCCTACTGTGGGAGGAGGAATCAGCACAAACCACTCCCCCTTCTATGGAAATGTCTACTGGATCCTACCATGTTCCTCCAAACCCTCCACCATTTGAAAATTGCTTTCATATCAAGCCCTCCAGCATAGCTTGTCCAAAAGTTCGTTGTTCTAGAATTTTCAACTGCTTCGCATTTTTATTTTTAAAGGATTTATGTTGGAGGGGGCACTTTCCAGGTTGTTGCTGTTTCAAAACGTTTATCTTTCAGCATTATTCTGGTTCTGATTTTACAGTTCTTCTACAGTTTTAAAAATTGTGTTATGTTTTCTGAGGCAGTGGTTTGGGGTATTCCTTTTAGTTTTGAAAATTTGTTCTGAAAGAATTGTCTGGTTAGGTGTTAATAGTAGTTAAGTGTAGGTGAGGATTTAGGTATTTAAAAAAACACAGTACAAATTTCAGTTTAGGATTCAGTAAGTGTTTCCCTCCCCTCCCCAAAATTATGCCTTTGTTAGGCTTCCAAAATAACAATAAGTCAATGGTTTAAAAAATAAATAAGGGGAACATAGAGTTGAATTTTTTAAAAAAATTATTTGGCTGGCCTGAGCATTAAAATAATTGAAACCAGGTGGGTTTTGGGGGAAAAGTTAATTGCAGGTTAGCACTGGGAGGAAAAGGCAAGGGCAGCTGGTTAATAAGTCGAGTTCAACAGCAAGTTTGTTAGTGCTCAGAACCAGTGTGCAGGTATAGCCTATTGCAGCAGCAGGCCTGCCAGGACCTCCTAAACCACGGGCAGAGGACGGGGGACTTAGGGTTGCCAGATCCATGTTAGGAAACTCCTGGAGATTTGGGGATGGAGCCTGCGGAGGACAGGAACCTCAGTGGGATACAATGCCATGGAGCCCACCCTCCAAAGCATCCATTTTCTGCAGGGGAATCAATGTCTGTAGTCTGGAGATCAGCTGTAATTCCAGGGGATCCCCAGATCCCACCTGGAGCTAGCTTACTTTGGTGAAGTAGATCAGGGGGACAGGATGACCAATAGGAGGGAAGTGCAGTGGGGTTCAGGGAGAAGACTGAGCAGAAGAGTAGTAAAGCAAAGGGGATGGGGAGGACTACATCTTTCCCCCTACCAGTGTGGAGCACTGCCCCAAGGCAGTCTTCCTCTACCCCTGTGGGGTTCTACAATGAAGAGGCTTCGCCAGGCCTGCTTCATTGAGGCTGCTGTCAGGGAACTGCTTACAGAGGTGCTTAAAGTAGGTACTGGCACTGGACAGCAGTCTGCTACTTAGCCTGCTCCTCCTCCAGCTGTTAGGACTCAGCAGCAGCAGCAGCAACCTGAGATGTCTTTTGGGCTGAACTTGGGGGCTGAGAGGCTTTGGATCAGAATGATAACCTTTTATTTCCAATAAATTATTCTTGTTTATATACTTATCTTTCCTAATGCATGTACCAAAAATGTACCAAAAAGAATATTTTTATGTATCCATTAGATCTTTTGTCACTGCATTATTACCTTTAGCTCCTTTTGCACCATCAAGTCCTGATTTTCCCAGAATACCTGGTAGTCCCTGTGCACCCTGATTATTTTATTAAAAGAAATTGTGTGCATTAGTTATACTATATAAAATAGGGACATCCTGTAACAACATATTTTGGTCTCCAAGCCTTGTGAACAAAATGCATATTGCATTAGTCTAATAATCTTCATGTGCTAAATCCTGAAATAATAATAATAATAATAATAACAACAACAACAACAATAATAATAATAATAATAATAATACATTGTAGTTAGATTAATACAAATAATATATTTAGTTTAATATACTGGATAGTCTGAGGAGCTAAAAAGTCCTGAAACTGAATGATGTAGATAGCAGAACCTGACCTTTCATATCTGGAATTTTTTACATTGACATTTATTCTATGTTTGCTCATGCAGCACAATCTGTGAAAACAATGCTTAAATGTGACAGGAGAAGGATACATTTCATTGACTTTTG